AAAAAATAATAATAAATAAACATTTTTCAAAAATGAAATAAAATAAAACGGCTGGAACCACTTCTGTATGCCTGACAGAAACAAGGGCTTCTATGCACCAAGAGCCAGGTGCAAAAATGTTCACAGCTGCTTTATTCATAATATCCCCAAGCCAGAAAGGGAGCAAATAAAAACATACATAATGGGACATTCATCCAGTGGAATATTATACAGCAGGTAAGAAGAATGGAGGACAGGTATACAAAGACCTGGATAGAATGTTGAAAGAAGTCAGTCACAAAAGGATACACACTGTATGATTCTGTGCATTTGAAGTTCAAAAATGGGGAATAGTAGTTGAAGGTGATAAAGGTTAGAAGTGGGGTGACTCTGGGGAGTCTTGAACCGGGAAAGGGTTTGGGGCAGCCTTCTTGGGTCCTGGGAATGCTTTAGATTTTGATCTGGGCGGTGACTGTACATGGGTAGAAACCCATCGAGCTGTCCACTTAAAGAGTTTTGCACTTCACTAAATGTCAATTGTGTTTTGAAGAAAGAAAAAGAAAAAGGAAGGAGGGAAGGAAGGAAGAAAGGAAGGAAGGAAGGAAGAATGAATAAGTAAAGGGCTGGCGCCAGAGGAGAGTTCCAGCACAGGGGGACCCCCCCCCCATCAACGGGGGATTTCCATGAGATCGGGTGGCAGTTCCCACCGCCTCCGGCAGCCCACAAAGGCATTAACTCAGAACTCAGCACGTCTGGCCACGACTTCCTCCTGAGCAGCCCGGCCCCCAGAAGCCGAGAGGACACAGGGCCCAGCTGCTCCTGGCCCAGGCTGCTGGTGCTCCTCCTCTCCCCTCCTACCTACCTTCCCCCCTCCCGCCCCTTTCCTGAGAGCCAGGCCCTCCCAGTGGGCCCCATTTCTCCACCCTTTGCTCTCCTCCCCCAACAGTGCTCCACCATCCAGGATGAGCTGGGCGATCCCAGCCTGGCACCTTCCTCCTGGCCTCTCTGGCTCGCTAGTCCCACAGCTGGTACTCCGGTGCCAGCTGAGACGCTGGAGAGTCTAGTTCAACTGGCAGGACTATGTCCTTGACCCTCCGATCACAGGTATGCTGAGTGACCCCAGCCTCAAGAGCAGCGACATTATCACCCCACCCCTCCCTGACCCAGAACAGTTTCATTCGTGTTGGGAGTTTTTCTCCAATAATAAGATCCTCCTTTTACTGAACTTGCGAGCCACGCATTGCTTGCTGCACTTGACAGACATCGACTTGGTCGGGACTATTAATAACCCCATTGTACAGATGAGGAAGCTGAGGCTCCACAAGACTGAATGACTCACCCGAGGAGCTGTAGCGTGACTACAGAGCCAGGATTTGAACCCAGATAACCCAGCTGCAGAGCCATGTGCCCAAGCATCGACCGAGACTGCCTCATATAGAAACAACTCTAAACATCAGTGCCCGCATTTTGAATGGTGCCTGGGGTTAGCTAAAAGGCAATATAGGTGAAAGAAAGGGTTAAGTTTCTAGCAGGAAAATATCTCAATCTCAAATGATGCAATTTTTTTTTCTTTTTTTTTTTTTTTAATTTTTTTTCAACGTTTTTATTTATTTTTGGGACAGAGAGAGACAGAGCATGAACGGGGGAGGGGCAGAGAGAGAGGGAGACACAGAATCGGAAACAGGCTCCAGGCTCCGAGCCATCAGCCCAGAGCCTGACGCGGGGCTCGAACTCCCGGACCGCGAGATCGTGACCTGGCTGAAGCCGGACGCTTAACCGACTGCGCCACCCAGGCGCCCCTGTTTTTTTTTTTTTTAACATTGAATTCCATGGAACTAAAACCAAAACGAAACAAAACCCTTCCCTCCCTCTGGCCAAACAGAGGGCCAGTTAGCCCAAAGGTCTGTCCAAACCTGGTGCGGATGCTCTGCAAGGTGGATGCCTTCAGCTTGCAAGGCAGGCTGCCGACGGACACATTGACGGCGGCCAGCATGCATCTACCCTTTCCTGTAACTGGATTTGCCAACTTTCTGACTCAAGCTCTCGTTTTATCCTTCCATTTTTATCTCTGTTCTCCAGGGAGTGGATCTGTCCTGACTGCCTGGACTCTCCTGCTGCGGTTAAAGTGGCGCGCGGTGGAGGTCAATAGATTTCCCTGGGCCAATGATCAGCAAGCTGACGGTCACAGCCATCCTGCCAATCAGCCGGGGGCATAGGCGGGCCTTAGGAAAATCTAGGCCAATGGCCTTTCAGTTTCCCCCAGGTAAGGATTCCGACTGGCCTCTACCGCGCACAGATGGTCAGGGATCCGGGAGTGCCGGAAGCAGAGAGGTGGGAGGTGAAGTCAGGCCATACCTTTGGGGCACCTGGGTGGCTGGGTTGATCTACTCTGAGTTCACGTCTCAGCTATGCCCCCTCATTAGCTACTGACTTTGGACAAACACTTCACCTCAATCTCATTTCCAGTTTGAGGTTGAAAGGAGGTAACACACGTAAATTGCTTCGCACAGCCCCTGGCATGTAGACAGATGATGGAGGGTGACCTCATAAGCTAACGGGTATGTTTTTTATTCCCAGTTTTTGTTACTGTTTCAAGATCCTCTCCGCCCCC